ATCCCCATCATTCCTGAAAAAAAAAGGGGCACCTGCTGGTGCCAGCCAGACTGAGCAAAGGGTTTGTGCTTGGTGTGGGCATGAGGCAGGCAGTGCACCAACCCAGCTGCCCCAACATGTAACTGACCTTGTACTGGCTCTACCTGGAGCTTTGCTGGTGTGTGGTTGAATGTGTGTTTCGGGGTGAGGGAAAGGAGGCTTGGAGCCATTTGTTCATCCTGTTGGACTGGAGGAGATAGCAGTGTGTATGGCAAACAAAACCCTTTATTTGCAGCACATCTTTGGTACTCTTTTTGCCTGTGTGTTAAACACAAACCCAAACCTCTCTAACTACTTGGTTGTGCTTCTCCTGCATCTTAATCTCAGAAACTGTTCAGGCACCATTCTCTTCCGGAGCAGAAGGGACTGGCTTATGTAGGCTGCAGAAGTTGGTGCATGAAACCTTCAGAGGAGAGAGTCCACTTGTAAGAAACTAGGAAGAGTCCTGCACCTCTTCCTCCTCCTGCAGCCTGCCTTTTCCAAGCCTGGTCTGCAGGGGCTAGCCTCTGAGCATGGGGAGCTGCCACAGGACAAGAGCAGAGAGTTGTAGGGGTAACTGATGAGCAGCCAGTGTACCAAGGCACACGAGCCCAGCTCTGACTGCCATCCAGGCTGTTCCCTGCAACGCCCCTGTTTGCTGCAAGGGAAAGCAAGTACGTAGTCACTGCCTTATCTTTTTGTTTTGTGTTTCTTTTAGGTAGCTGAAAATTACTTCTACGTGCCAGATCTGGGCCAGGTTCCAGAGATTGACGTGCCATCCTACCTGCCAGACCTGCCTGGCATTGCTGCAGATCTCATGTACAGTGCTGATCTGGGCCCCGGCATCGCACCGTCTGCCCCTAGCAGTGCTATTCCAGAGCTGCCCACTTTCAACACTGAGTCGGTGGAGCCTTTGCAACCAGGTATTTCCAGTCCCTGCTCCCAGGACCCTGTGAAGGAGGAAGGGAAGGATTGCCAGAAAATGGAGACAAGGCAGAAAGTCTCTTGGTGGAGATTTCAAGGTGGATATTGGAGATACCTCTGGCTTGTGCTTGAGTCAAAGCTGTAACCTGCTCAAGTGCTTGCCAGACCCCAGGCCCCTCAGCTCCCTCACCCTCTGCATGGCCAGGGAGGAGGGAGTGTGGTGTGCAGGGACTGGCCTTGTGGCAGCCGAGCAGGATGCCTCTGGGTGAGTGGGATGCAGCTGGGGAGGGCAGAGCAGGGGAATCTCAAACTGCCTTGGCCCTGGCTGCTGTTAAAGAGATGCTGCAGAGGCTGGGAGTGCTCTGCTGCAGGACTCTGATCTGTTGCCGCTGAGGCATGTGAAGCTCTGAGCTGAAGCTCTCAGTGCGCTGTCCTCTGGGACACTTCAGATGCAACTTTTCATCTTTCAGAGCTTCAAAATGCTGAGCTATTGCCGCCGCCTCCGCCACCACCTCCCCCACCACCTCCTGTTCTGCCAACTACTGTGCCTCCTCCACCGCCCCTGCCCCAGCCCACAGCCCCCTCTGAGGCAGCCCGGACAGCGAGCGAGGAGAGCAGCAACGCAGTGCCTGCAGGTAAGGGCTGGGCATCTCCACAGCTTCACCAGCAGAATCTAATTCTGACTCCTGGGCTTCAGCCCGTGTCCTTGGTTGGTTCCCTCTGGCTTCCCAGCCTTCCGGCAGAGGAGGGGAGCTGCGGTGGGAGAGGAAGAGGCTCCCACCTGCCTGGGAGCTGCAAGCTTTGGCTTCCCCCTTGGTGGGGCTCCTGCTGGCTGGGCTGAGCGTACGTCTGTCACTGAGAGATGTCTGGGCCGGGCTCACAGCCCGGGGCAGAAGCTGACAGGGTATCGGAGCAGCCCTTTGCGTGGGGATTTAGTGGGGTTTATAGCTAGTCCAGGGAGCCCCGAAGGAGGTGGTGAACCCCTCTACTGGACGTGCCAGTCTCCTGGAGTCCATCCGTCAGGCCGGTGGCATCGGGAAGGCCAACCTCCGCAGCGTCAAGGAGAGGAAGCTGGAGAAGAAGAAGCAGAAGGAACAGGAACAAGGTGCTGAGGCTCTTTGGCAGAACTGATCTTTCTTATTCTCTGCTGGGGAGCTGTAGGTCTGCGGGGAGATGGGCAAGCCAGGAGCACGGTGAACATACAGAGTGGAAAGGCAGCGTCTCTCCTCACAGACTGGTGTAGGCCTCCGGTGTTTCGCATTCAGCCAAAGCTCTGAATTTGCTAAATCCCCTCTGCCAGAAGGGCATTTGTGTTCTTGATGGGGCCCTGCTCTGCCTCAGGGCAGGCATAGAAGTTTCACGTGTGCTGCCTGGGGGAAAGGAAATGGCAGGGCCAAGAGGGGCAGGGCCGAGCCAGTTTGAGCAGGTTGGTTTGGGTAGCTGGGGAGGGTATTGATGGAGCTGCTTTGGCAGAATGAGACTGCAAATACTCTTGCCCTTCAAGGAATTCCACTCTTGGATTTCCCCAGAAGACACTGTTACCCTGCAGTGCCTGGTGTTTTCCTGACTTGAAACTGGACTATAGTGGGACAGTTAGGGGTGTGATACAAGATTAGAGGTTTGGGTTTTTTTCTTTAATCTGAAGGCAGTATTGCAGGAGAACGCTTTCGCCGTAGTGCTAGGTTCAGACTGACGCTTCTTGTCTGACTTGTTTTGCTGTCTTTCAGTGAGAGCTACAGGACAAGGTGGAGATTTGATGTCAGACCTCTTCAACAAACTGGTGCTGAGGCGCAAAGGTACTGTGCTGCAGGGTGGGCTACTTCTGCCTAGGAAAGAGGGGGAGCCCTTTCTGGCACATCAGTTGTGTCAGCCACAGCCCTAGAATCGGGAACAGAGACGCTTCCCTTGATGAGTCTGCCACAGCGTGGCTGGGAGTGTCTTTACAGAGGGTGAGCAGGGGAATCTCCTCCTCAAGTCCAGCCCGAGGCACCGGAGGAGGCTGTGTGGCCGAGGCAAGGACTGGCTCTGAAAGCTACCTGTGAGGAAGGGACAGTGGTGTCTTTATTAATTCAGTGCTGGGGCAAGCCTTTGGAGGCACCTGAGTTACCCTGAGGCTGTGGCAGGTAACTGGGGCATTTAGGGCCAGTGTCACCCCCTCAGAGCCTGGCAGAGGGGGGTGTGGACTTGCTCAGGTGCAGCTTTAGTTAAATGAGCCCTTGCCCAGGTGGTGGCATTTATGGGTGGTGGCCATTCTCCTTGCCAGGGTCACCTGGGTGCTGGTGGGAGCTGTGGTATGAGATGTGTTTTTCCCCCTCCCTTTGCTGAGCCTCCATGTTCTGTAGTCCGCAGGCATCACTCACTGGTGCTTTTCTTCCCCTCACAGGTATTTCGGGGAAAGGGCCAGGAGCCTCTGGGAATCCCGATGCTCCTGGAAGTCCTGCTGGTGCCTTTGCTCGTATGTCAGACTCAATACCACCCCTCCCACCCCCACAGCAGCCTGGGGGTGAAGAGGATGAGGATGACTGGGAATCATAGATGGGGTCAGCTGTGCATCATCGTGAATCCCAGGACTCTTGAACTAAGCACCTTTGAGAGACACCAGCCTGTGGAAGGAGTGCCTGGAGGGTGGGCACTGGCATGGCAAGGGACCCTCTTGTTTCTTCTTGAAGAGCAGGAGCAGCAGAAGCTAACTAACTGCCTCTGAGGTTATCAGGGAGAGTTTGTCTTCTGCTGTCTGCTATTCTCCATCCCAAATACTACATTCCAGCTCAAATGCTGCTGCTGCTGCTCATGCTGGCACAATAAATCCTGCCTTAGCCGGCGGGCAGTGGGGCAGCCTGTGCTCAGAGGATCAGAACTAGCATTGCTCCTGATTTAAAGGGCCCTCAGTCTTTCCTAATGTGACTGGTGATGACTGCAAAAGCAGCTCTTGCAGGCAAACAGCACTTGCCTCATTTGTCTCCTTCCTCACTGAAGCTCCTGCTTGCTTGGTTGTTGCTAGAAGAGAGAACGACTGTGTCTGTTCTTCCATTGGAGGTTTAATTCCTGGCACCTCTGCACACCATGGTTTCTTTCTCTACCTGGCTTATGGTAATTCTTTGCCTGTTGCTGTCTGAAAATTTCAATAAAGTTGAAGGAAGCAGGTCCTTGCAGCCTTCACTGTGGTAAAAGCAGGAAGCATGCTCAATTAAGAGGGTGGTAAGGGAAAGCCCAGCTGTCCGCTCTCCTCCAGGGCAGGGGCCAGCCTTACACCCCAGCACCACCAGCCACAGTGCTGGAGGGCACCAGCTGTTACACGCAGGTGCCCCCCCACTCCCAACTGGGGTTAAGGCAGACCTCGTGCCAGATGAGGGGGGGCTTCACACCCACTGAAGGGGTAGGAGACACAACCCCCATTCCTCAGAAGCAGATGCTTCTTTCCCTGTGGGGCTAATTAACATATAGGGAGTGGGTACCAGCTCTGTGTCTAATAAGTGCTTTTGTCATGGTGCAGACCCTTGAGAGGTAGCATCCAGCTGCTGAAACCAGCAAGGATGCAAAAGAGCTCCTGGGAAGATTTGCTCTGGATGACGGAGAGAGCTGGGGCCTGCTGTGGGATTACACAGCTGTCCCTGTTGTTACTGCTGCCCTCCAGCACTGACCTGTGAGCTAGGAAAGAAGCCCAGGAAAGTTAAGCTAAAAAAAAAATATCAAAACTAAAACCAAGGTTTTACCATTTTCCACAGAAAGTTACTTTGAATTCAAAAACGCAGGCAGTAAAAAGAGCAGAGCAACCCTGTGCTTAAGCATGATCAAAGGAGAAGTGCTGTGCCGTATTATGGCTCTATCTTTATTCCCCTAGAAAGAATGAACTGCTCCTTCAATCTACTGACTGCTTGAACCAAGGTAGAAAGAAGGGGATAAGAAAGGTGGCCCATAGCTGCCCCTGTGTAATTCCAACATGACACAACCTAACAGCCTGATAGTTTACAATTCTTGTGAAAAGCTCTACGCTTTCACTGGGTATCACGCCCCCTACACATGGTGGTTGATGGGAAAAGGCAGATGTGTTCAGTCAAAATCATTACCCTCCCCCTACTTAAGTGTTTGGGTTGAAAATATTTAATAAATTTAAATAAAACCTTTACAAGTGTAAACAAATAGGAGCTTGCAGCTACTCCCTTTACCTGCCTCAGACCTACAACCAGTTTCCCACCTGGTTATGGTGCTGAAGGCTGTCTCACCATCATAGCACTCAGAGACTGAACATCCACAAAAGGAGGCAGAAGGCAGAGATTCGCAAATGCCTTGGTATGGAAAAGCAGGAACTTGTGTTGCTTCGGCTGTTCTTTGACTGTGCAGCTCAGAGACTTGACCGAGAGCCTGTTCTCTGATCCGCATCACGGAGTGTCCGACTTCCCACGGTGGAACTAGGAACACACAAAACCAGAGAGCTTGGCCCTGGCCTTACACTGAAGTGAAGGTTTGAGTTAAGTACAGATGAGTACAGTAGGAAACAATTATGGTAGCAGTACCTAAGATACAAGTCCTGACCTTTCTTAACTCTGCGAACGCTGATCCAAAGGCAGGTTTGACCTGGGTTCTCTCCCTGATCCACTGCGGCAGTTTGTTAAAGATGGCAGGGCGTGCGTACCTGTGGTCCAGGAGCAGGATGCTTGCAAAGTCCTTCTGATGGCGAATAGCTCTGCCTGTACAGAGTGTACAACCATGTTAAAATGGCCCAACTCAAGTGTTTGTCCTCAGGCAAGGAAGCTCATGTTCCTGTCATCCGTACTTAGACTGATGGGTAATGCGTCCTTTTTCCCACCCTCTTACTTCAGTGCAGTCACATTTCGTGTCCCCCAGACTGTCCGAGGAAGGATGAATTACCTATTGACTGGTTTACTGCCTTCATGCACAGGTTTTCAATCAGCTCTCTGCTAGGTGCCTGGCCAGCAGCTCTGGGCTGGAAAGGAGAAATAGGTAAGACTGAACACGAGGCAGATGTAAATCAAACTCGGGAGTCTTAGTGAGAGCGAGGCAAATGCTTTTACCCCTGCAGAGCGAGTGGGTGGCCAAGCAGACCCCAAGCTGAGAGTGAGCAGGGACAGGAGAAAGGTTGCAGTCAGAAAACTATGTTGAGCATTTGCAAAGAGCCAACCCAAGGTGTCCTTGAGGCAGAAAACTTGTCCCCAGCTGCCCGGGAACAGCATCTCCAAAACCCAAGTGAGCCAAGAGGAGAAGTGATCCTGGCAAGCAGCTTCTACCACCTCCTCTGGGGTGATGGGACTTTGCTCCCCTTGGAACTCAGTGTTCCCAGGGAGCCCCAGAGGTGGTTCCCTCTACTGAGCATCTTCCCTGTTCAGGGCCACCTGTAGGCATGCAGCACGGAGAAGGCTGTGCTCTCGATACCACACAGCTTGGGAAATGAGGGCAAGCTCAAAGAAAAAAAACAAAAAAACCAAAAAAAAATCTTTGAAGGCAGCCCTGGGACTCATGCACTGGGAGGGAAGTTAATACTGAAAAGCCGAAGTGAAAGAGGCAGAGGTGTAAGCATCTCTGTTACCATTGTTTTGTCAAGCCAAGTCATTTTTTCCTGGAGCTCTGGAGATTTAATGTTGGGGTAAGGCATTCCCACCATAATCACACACCTGCAAGGGGCAAGGGAGGACGGCATTATTCTTAATGTCTCATCCTAGAGCACTTTGCCAATAGACTGATAAATTAGAGGTCACTGCACCCCTGAAAGGCAGCCAGCCCTGAAAACCAAAGGCAGCAATAAAGCACAGCAGTCTGACAAGCACGTTCTGAACGGAAAGCTGCAGTGGGATTCAGGGAGCCAGAACAAGGGATTATCTAGCACAGCAAGCCTAACCGCGTTACTCGCATGAGCAGTACGCTGGACAGGCGGCTTCTACACCACCCAGCAGACTCTGTCCCGTTGGTTTAAGCATCAGCCCAGGCCACGTGCTCCCCAGGATTTGCTATCTATGCAAGTACCGAGGCGTCCAACCCTGCTTGGAGCCACCGCACCACCAGCCCCGTGCCCACCTTCCCAGGAGCAGCCACCTCACCTTCCCAGGTCGTCAGAGAAGTTGATCCCTTCGCTCATTTTGCCTCCAACTACAGAAAGCAGCAGGGCCCCCGTCATCTGTCCTCCTGCCTGGCTGCAGCGCTGCAGGAAAGGGACCAGCAACTTAAACCAGAGTAGGGAAGACTTCTGTGCTTCAGAAACACTCCCACACCTGGGCTAGAGCCTTCTTCCCTTGTTAAAAGCCGCAGTGCCCTCTTTAGCAGCACTCCCATACAGAGCTGGGATGCCAGACTCCCACCAGCCTGCCAGCTCAGCTTACCTTTATGCACTTGGCGTATTCCACCAGCACCTGCTCCACCTGGTTGGCTTTCTTAGGCTCCTGAAAGATCTGTCACAGGCACAATGCCTCAGTTGCAGCAACAGGAAGCAAACAGTTTAAAGCAAGCAAATCGTTTTACTCCCCTGCCATTAAACAGCACATGGAACTAAGATCAGGGAAGGGCAATTCGCCTGAAAAACCAGCACCTTCCCCCCCAACCCTGGAAATGCACCGCTCGCTCACTACAGCCCTTTTAGCCGGCCTGGCAGCTGCTCCAGCCCCTCCAACCCTCAGGCTCATCTAATTCTGCAAGAAGTTAAAAGTCACCTGAGAGCTGAAAGGCAGGAAAGCAATGTGCACCTCTTCCACCTATGAGTAAAATCCAGCAGGGTGAGGAGAGCCCTCCAGCTGCAAGATCTTGGAGGATGGTGACAGGACCAATCAATTCAAATCACCAGTTAATTCCAAGTAATAGCTCCCCTTGCCCCGTGAATAAATTAGTTTTCTGTGCAAAGCATACATAAAGTAATATTTCTTTATGTTATTCTAGCATGCCTAATTAGTTGCTGAAAGCCCCTGATGTTAATTGAGCTGCTTTTTGATAGATGCTGCACCTTGGCCTAGACCACAAGCTGTTTTCCTAGTAAACAAGAGGTGCAACGTCTGTTGTTTCTGTGACAGTAAAGAACCTAAAGGATGTGTTTTCTTTTGGTTAGCGAGAAGTACTATCAATATTACCAGCCAGAATCACTCTTTCAGTAGAAAAATAACTGGCAATTACAAATATATGCCAAGACTATTTAACTTATTAAACAGTAGCTATTTAATCCTCTGATTTAAATTAATTTTCCCTGTGTAATTTATACATAATCTCTGTGATCTCACCACAGCCACCTCAGGAAAGACTTTAACCTTCCTCTGCTATGATATGATCTTGTGTGTGGGCAGCTGAAAGTCACACTTGCTGCACTTCAACCAAATTGCCTTGCTAACACACATCCAATTTGCTGCAGATTGCAAAGGCCAAACAAGAACAAATCAGCATGGAAAGGCAGAGCAAGCCACGCGATTGTGGCACAAAGCCTTGGAGGCACCAGGTAGACCACTGGGACCCTGACAGAACACACCTGAAAGGCACCAGGAGCCACAGCTGTACAAACACCTGGAGAAGCTGAAGCATAATGCTTCCACAACAAAAACCTACAGGCAGATCCACGTGCCAGGATGCCTGCACCAAGGCTGTGAAGTATCTGGGAATGTGCTCTCCTAATCCACATGCCAAGTCATTTAGCTTTTGGTAAACAGAAGTCACAGCCAGGGCATATGTAATTCTTTTTTGCCTGCCCCGCACCGTGAGACAGTCTGACTGCCTGACCTTCAATACCCAAGCTTCAATACTCGTGAGCATCACTGCAAAGATTGTATATTTGCAGTGCTCTCCCCATTTAATGTTTCTCATCATTTCTTCAACAGGAGCCGCCACTGCTAGTCTTTCAGTTCTCCGCTCTGCACTGCCACCAGAAGACCACCACCATTTGTCCTATGAACTGCAGTCTGGTCCCATTCTGCCCAGCCCTTAGTTGTGCTGGTCTGAGCTCAGCTGAGCCTGAGAAAAACAAGTTCCCTATAAGAGTTCAACCTGCACAGCCCCCCAGCCACAGGGGAACAAGCTCGCTGGTTATGGAAAGCAAGGACTGTCTCCCCCCATGGCCAATACACAGACCATGCACTTAAAGAATCTATAGCTGCATTTAATCTAATTTAGATCCCAGCTCAGTGATCAGCCGCCCGGGAAGTATCATTTATTCATTACTGGAGGGATTGGCTAGATAAACATCCGCTGTGCTCTGCTGTGCAGAGTATGAGAACAACTCAGCAAGAGAGGCCTGTAATGCATAGATAATTGTTTGATTTCTGAAACCTCCATTTAAAGTACCAACTGCCCCTGGCTGCACAATTACCTTCTTCTTTGTTGCCAGGCGGGTGAGCAGTCCCGTCTTCTCCCAGTGTGCGTACACTTGCTTCTCATATTCGTAGGAAGGGAAGAAGCACACCACACCCCCTGGGACCACGTTGCACAGGTTGCAAAGGATTCGACCCGTCTCATCCATCTGCAAGAGAGACAAAAACATATTGTAGCTGACAGGTGCTCCAGCTAATGCTGCTCCAATTCTGTGCTCAATCCCAGGATCACACCTCTGCTATGACATGCCTTGGGGGAAGGAAAAATGTGGGAAATGTGCCAGGTCTGAGAGAGCTCTCTAGGGGAGCTGGGAATCGCCAAAAAGCTCTTCCCTGCTCGGCCTCCCCTCCTAATCCAGGGTTTCTGTTACTGCTGTGGAGCAGTGGTCATCCAGGAAAGGAGGGTTTATGTCTGTTGTTGCAGTGGATAGGACCTGTCACACTAGAACCAATGTGGAGAGCTAGCTAGCACATCTAGTGGAGATTCAGTAGGGGCAGAGCAGATCCAGTGTCTGGGCTTGGGTGCTTACTGGCCCACCCAAGGAAGAAGGAAAAATTGCAGAAACATCTGCTGCCGCCCCTATGGTTTGGGCCACACTCTGCAGGGCTGCCAGGCTCCACTGTCACTGAGCCCTTCACGCTGTGAAGTGCTGTCAGAAACCTCCTTCTGACATCCAGCACGCAAATGCAGGATGTCAGCAGAGCCAAACAGGAGTTGTTAGTATTCATTGTCTCCAGTAGCTAACCCTGAGCAAGCAGGTCGAAATCCCTTCTGCTGCTCCTCTTTCCCAATTACTTGGCAACACACCTGCCCCATATCCCATGGATTTCCCCCTGCTATGGCTTTTGATCAGCCCACCTTTGAAACAGAGAGCAGAGCATGCTGTTCTGTGAAACATAAGCATGTGAAGCAAAAAAAGAGATACCAAGGGAGGGACCAAGGGAAAGACTGACCATCTGGGGCAGGTCTCTCGTCTGGTAGGTGAACTCCAGCTGCTGGTTGGCAGGACCACTGCAGAGGATTATGGGCAAAATGTTTTCTGGAGGAATCACATGTCCTGGAGACAAAAACAAGTAGTGAGAGTCAGAGCCACCGCTGCGCGCACAAACCCCGCTAGCTGAAGAGCTTGACCTGCGTGTAAAGTAGAAGGCACCGCTCAGAGCGGAAGGGACCTAGCACCCCTTCACTGCCACGAAAGATGCCACGTTGCTCAAGAGTGCTGACAAAACGACACAGAAGGCAAACTGCAACGCCTGGGTCCTGCAGAGGCAGCTGATGACCCCTCCCTGCCACCCCGGCACACTCACCACAGGAGAACTCCACGACACGTGCGGGATCCACACCAGCACAGGACAGCAGCTGCTCTCGGAAATCAGCTACCTATGGAGCCACGAGCCAAAAGAGAGGTAAGGCACTGGCATCCCAAAAGGCACCACTACATCAGCAACACCGGTACTGCTCCTGGAGCACCAGTGCCGAGGGAGAGCCCGTCAGCTCCGTCCCGGGGGGGTAGCCGGCACGG